GGATTATGTCTTTGAACGATGGAATTTGTTCCAAATGCTTTTGGCGTGGCGTGAGAAAATAAATTTTAATAAGGAGGTATGATTTTCGCTGTTCCCGTGTCCCATATAGTGTTTGATGGTTACGAGAGGTGTATATTTATTTGAGCGTTATACTCGTATCTTATTTTAGTATAACTATTCTGCGAATTATCGATTACAATTTTCTCATATTGCCACCGACACGCTTTCGCACTAGACAAATGGTATTAAAGCCACATTTCCATACTCAGTAAGGCGGTGCCCTCTGTACAGTAGAGGGACCCGGGGAGAGAAGCAAGCCAAATGAGAGAGAATACCAAAACAAAAAGAAGTGTGCTTTGGAAATGGAGTCCTCCTAGCATTCATTATTGGAAAGGGTAATTTAAAATTTTATGGTATGGTGTGTCTTCGGCCATTTTTGGTTATGGATTTAGCTTCCTGGTTCTCATTATCTATGTGACGGATTTGAGTATTCCGAGCTTCAATTTTCCTTCTAGGAGTACAAAAGCCAAACCATGGTCTTCAAATTCGCCACAACCGATCTCACTTATGATCCTCCCGATTTTGATTCCGACTCGCCGCCCACTTCTCAATCACCGACGGTTTGCCTGTCATGTATTTCCCGGTTGCACTTTCAAGAAACCCATAACATCCCCCAGGCTGTCGCCAGGGCTTCGCTACGCCTGACATTTCAGGCTTCCGAATCTGGTTGTTCAAGTTGCAGGCCAAATGAATCTATGGAGCTCCGGCAGTGACACCTTAAAAGGTTCGCTTTCGGTGAGCTAGAGGCAGCTACCAACCACTTCAGCGACGAAAAGATTGTGGGCAAGGGCGGATTTGTTGCACTGATTAGCATCTACTTAATGTGACAATCCTATTTTTGCAAGTTCCTGTGGTCGTGAGCTATTTTAGCCTATCTGTTAGGCATTTTTATTGTATAGATTTCTTCCTAGTATAGAATCCTTCCTATTGTATATCTCCTAATTAGGGTTGTCATATGTCCTATATATATAACAGGATTGAGCATTGTAAATGTACAGAAAACATATTCATTGAATAGAAAAAGAAGAGTCTTTTTCTACATGGTATCAGTCGCACTTGTTTTCCTCCCAGTTTGAATATAAGTTCTGCTCCTTTTTCCTTAATTCATTCTGATGTATGGGGTGCGTCTCCTGTTACTACTGTATCTGGGTTTAGATGGTTTATCATCTTTGTTGATGATTGCACACGTATGACTTGGCTATATTTGATGAAACATAAGAATGAAATTTGAAGCTATCTTTCGGACTTTCCACCGTATGATTCGACTCGGTTTGGGAGCCAAACTTCCGGGTTCTCGGGTCGATAATGGTGGCGAATACTTAAGTAAACCTCTTTCGGCTTATTTTCAAGAACATGGTTTGATACATGAAACTTCTTGCCCTCGGACTCCTCGTGAGAATGGTGTTGCCGAGCGCAAGAATCGCCATCTTCTTGAAACCACTCGAGCACTCTTGGAGGGTAACCATGTTCCCCATCGTTTTTGGGATTCTGCCGTAGTCACAGCTGCTTATTTGTTGAATCGCATGCCTTCCCGCATTCTGAGCTATCGCACGCCAATGCAAGCACTTGCTGCCCATGTGTCTCTTCCTTCGGTTCTTACATTGCCTCCTAAGGTGTTTGGGTGTGTCGCTTATGTCCATCTTCACAAAAATCAGCGGACCAAACTTGACTCTTGTGCAGTCAAATGTGTGTTTCTTGGTTATGGCCCTTCTCAGAAAGGGTATCGGTGTTATGATCTTGCCAAGAAGCGCATGTATGTCACCATGGATGTAACATTTATTGAGATGGAGTCCTATTTTCCTTCCCCCCAGTGTCCTGTTCAGAGGGAGACTAGTTGTAGAACCAGACATTGGTGGGACGTAGGAATTGCAGGAGCGACGGATGGGTGCGCACGGCCACGTGATTTTGAGGTTGCACGTGATTCTGAGGCTGCTGAGGATGAAGATTTTGAGCTACCGCCGCATGATTCTGAGGATGCACGACCAGACAACACTGAATTACGGCATGGGTCCGAACATGTGTCAACAGATGCACAGTTACAACTGTCAACAGATGCACAACTGCAACAGCCCTCCTTGTCTTCGCCCTCTTTAGTACCACTCCAAGCTCCTGAGAATGTACCTGAGGTAAGTACTTCTACTGTACTTGATTCTTTTGAAGATAATGATGTGCTTACTGGTTATAAGCTACCCGATAGGCATAGTAGGGGTAAACCACCGAATCGATATTCTCCAGATATAGAGGACCGCCGGTCTCGATACCCTATTGCAGACTATGTCTCTGCCAAGAGGCTGTCCACATCACTACAAGCCTTCGTGTTTATGATTTCCTCAGTTCAAGTTCCAAACAGGGTTGAAGAAGCCATGAAGGATCCGAAATGGCTTCAAGCGATGGAGGCAGAGATGGAGGCGTTGGAGAAAAATCGAACTTGGAAACTTGTGGAACTACCAAAGGATAAAAAGCCGGTTGGATGTAGGTGGGTGTTCACAGTCAAACATAAGGCAGACGGCACTATTGAGAGGTATAAGGCGCGACTGGTAGCTAAAGGGTATACACAGACTTATGGGGTGGATTATCAGGAAACATTCTCTCCAGTTGCAAAGTTAGACACTATAAGAGTGTTGTTATCTCTGGCTGCAAACTTGGACTGGCCTTTGCATCAATTTGATGTGAAGAATGCATTTCTTCATGGAGATTTAGAGGAGGAGATCTATATGGAGCTTCCACCTGGATACAGATGCGCAGATAAGCCGAACATGGTATGTAAGCTGGAAAGATCATTGTATGGGTTGAAGCAGTCCCCTCGTGCATGGTTTGGTCGCTTTAGCTCAGCTATGAAAGGGTATGGATACTCCCAAAGTAACTCAGATCATACTTTGTTCTTAAAAGGTGCTCAAGGAAGAATGACAGCTCTTATCATATATGTAGACGACATGATTATTACAGGCAATGATAGTGCAGAGATTATGAGACTGCAGGGATTATTATCAAGGGAGTTTGAGATGAAGAACTTGGGAGGTTTGAAATATTTCCTGGGAATCGAGGTTGCTAGGTCGAAGGAAGGGATTTACTTATCTCAGCGGAAGTATGTTCTTGATCTTTTGACCGAAGTTGGCATGCTAGATTGCAAGTTTGCAGACACTCCTATGGTACAAAACTGTAAGCTTGGAGAGTACCCTGATCAGACACCTACTAATAAAGAGAAATACCAAAGGTTAGTAGGTCGATTGATTTACTTATCACATACACGTCCTGATATTGCTCATGCAGTAAGTGTGGTGAGTCAATTCATGCATGCACCTAGTGAGGATTATATGAGTGCTGTGTGGCGCATCATTCGATATTTGAAGTCAGCCCCAGGAAAGGGGTTGCTATTTGCAAAGAATGGCCACCTTGAAATAGAAGGTTACACAGATGCAGATTAGGCTGGAAGTGTGACAGACAAGAGGTCTACATCAGGGTATCTTACATTTGTGGGAGGCAACCTTGTTACATGGAGAAGTAAGAAACAAAAGGTTGTAGCTCGGTCTAGTGCATAAGCTGAATTCAGAGGTGTAGCAAAGGGGTTATGCGAACTTCTATGGCTTCGAAAGCTGCTAACTGAGCTCGGGTATCCACCAGGTTTGGAAATCAAATTGTTTTGTGATAATAAAGCAGCCATAAATATTACTCATAATCCAGTTCAGCATGATAGAACCAAACATGTGGAGATTGACAGACATTTCATCAAAGAGAATTTAGAGGCAAAAGTGATCCAGTTACCATTTGTCAAGTCTGAAGACCAGTTAGCTGATATATTGACAAAGGCTCTGTCAAGTAGAGAATTTCATTGCTCACTTATCAAGTTGGGTATCAAAGACATCTTTGCACCTACTTGAGGGGGAGTGTGGTCGTGAGCTATTTTAGCCTATTTGTTAGGCATTTTTATTGTATAGATTTCTTCCTAATATAGAATCCTTCCTATTGTATATCTCCTAATTAGGGTTGTCATATGTCCTATATATATAACAGGATTGAGCATTGTAAATGTACAGAAAACATATTCATTGAATAGAAAAAGAAGAGTCTTTTTCTACAGTTTCTGTCTTCCTTTATAATTCGCCAAAACAACCGGCGAGCCCTACCGTTTGGAGAGCTCACTAGGCTGCCAAAAAAAAAAAAAAGGAGACAAAGCTCAGAAAAATCTGAAAGTACGCAAGAAATGTCGTTAAAAACGGACCAAACTGCCCTATTAGACCGGGCACTCGTGATCGTATTCCCAAGCCTTTTACTAATCAAAATTGGGTAATATTACGAGAACAACCGCATCGGCCCGTCTTTTGACTTTGATGCTGCGGTTGTAAATAATACTTTGTGTGATATAAGCAAGACTGGATACTCAAACTTTTAAATTATCCTTCAACTTGTCAGCTATATACACAAAAAAAAAAGAAAAAAAAAGCTATATACAATTATTTACATGCTATGTTGCAAGTCCGGTACTATTCTAGACCCACAGAAGTATTACGTGGCTAATGGATTTGATGTCTGAACTGATCCATCTTATATGCTACATGGGTATACTCGATGTCCATACCCGTAGCATTTACTCACGTGCATCTTCAATGTAATAAGGTTGTAATCTATTACGTAGTAATTTGGCATGGTTTGCAACCGACAGTAATAAGTCACCTGCACGATGGACTTGGTATAGACAGCGCAGTAATTTACACCCACGCATCAGTATTCTTGCGCGACCCACTATAGCCCGTCACAATGGCCACAGGACATCCCACGTCAATCCAGGCACAGCATTGTAGCAATGATCAGGCGAATGTTTGTACCAAGTGACTTGCACCTTCGTATGGGCACACAACAATATTTGCTTTTGAGTTACATTATCTAGACCATTAACTAGATAAATCCATCCTCTCCTACTTTTAATCGTCAACAAAAAGGGGAAACACACAAGAGGCAGTTAAGCCAAAAACCAGAAACATCCATTATTCATGGCCTTGCTGCTTCCCATATTGGGTAAAAATGCATAAGAGCCATTACATAATTTATAATTCAGGAGCAACAAATAATTAATAAACAAACATAAATCCGCAGTCGAAAAAAAACTTTAAAGAGGGGAAGAGGATCAGGTTGCAGAATCAAAGCCATCCATAACAGCTCTCTGGATGCCGCACGAAAGATGCTCTGGTTTCGTTAATTAATCACCAGCTCAATTCTAGAAGGCAAGTTTCCCTTGAGCTGTTGCTGAGCACGTTCTCTAGGTTCCTTCACTTTTTTCAACCCGCTCGTGACAAATTCTTCTTCACAAGGATTCACCACTAACTTCTCTAGAGCAATGGCATTGTCGATAAAATAATTCACTAGTTCAAGATCACAAGATCGACCATAATAGTTATGAAATTCCACCACCTTTAGGTATCGATGTGGAGGTCCAACAACTCTTTTCAGTTCCCTCTGCCTGCACAGCATGTCCATCGGGTACATCAACTGTGGCAAAAGAAGAATGCCGTATATGAGTAATCAACGCAATATATCGTTGCATTGGAGAATGCCCGTAGAAGAAAGAACTTGCAAAGTAGAGTATGTCCGTGTGGATGGTCGCATCTAGTAGATACTAGTCACATGATGTCGCAACAACGCGCCGGTGAGAGAGACTCCAATAGGATTCAATAGTGGCTGGGTTCATTAAATCCGATCCTACGAAACTCCTAAATAGATGGAGACTTGAATGAGGCCCGAAAACCCACCTCTACTACGAAACTCCGCAAGCAGGGAAATGCCTCGATCACGGGAGTCAAGGGAAGTAGACTCGAGTCTCCAAATACCTCAAATCTCAGTTCCAATTGCTTGACGCTTGTTAATTTAGGCACTCGACGTAGATGATTCCATAGTCTTTCCTGCATTTTTGAGAGAGATAGAGAATCAAAGGCGGCACATATCGTGATAAGGAAATAACTCATGAAACCTTAGGAAAGATCAGTCAGTGCTCTTACCGGGGATGGCATAGAAAAGGAAAGCTTAAGAATCCGCAGACAAGAAAGACTTGAAAGCAGAGACATGATCAAAACCACTCGATCCGCAAAAAATCCTTCAATGGACACCTCAGACAGCCGGGGGACCTCGTCCAAACACCATCGAATTTCATCTTCTATTCCTTTGTAAGTGAAGGACACTAGATTCGTGTCATAAATCTCGACGAGTTGAAGATCCTCACAACATCTTATGCGCAAGTATTTCAACTTCAGTGATTGGCCAGAAACTCTCAAACTTTTCAAAGCACGAGCTTTTTCCAAAACCAATTTCTCTAATACCGGACAAGTGGCGAGCAATTGCTCAATGAGTTCTCCCTCCACATTTACTCGAAATAAGGAGAGCTGTTCAAGATACCTACAGCCAACATGCCAAGAAATGGAAGGGCTCGAGCCAAAGTTGCCGAGACCCGAAGCCCGCCGTGAACACCCTACAGATATGGCAAGCGACTAGGGTCACAATCAGGCTTAAAATCCCCGTAACACGCGGGCATGAAATATAGTTCAAGCACTTTAACTTGTTTTGCCAAAGCAAACCTAATCCAGCGATCGATGCGAGACTCGTAAGAGATATTCAGGTCAAACTGTAACGCGAATCTTCGTAAAGAGTGCTCTCCTCCAGTTTGACGATGCACGACATTGTCCACCCATTCCACATATCTCGCCCTCTGCTTTTCCACCCACTCGGGGTTTAATTCCAGCTTCTCCAATAAGTGCAACCAGTCGAAATCAAGGTCGGTGAGAAGAGAAGTATACAAGTGCCTCCATCTCCTGGAAAGAACACAAGTCGCTTGTGCTTCTCTAGATGTCAATCGAGATAATATACGGTCTACAACTTGTTCGGGCAAACAGCTGATCCGATCCTGGATTGAGTTTAGCCAGAAGAAAAAAAAAATTTAAAGCAAAAAAAAATCTGGGGAAAAGATGCAGGGAAAACAGGAAGCAGGAAAAATTCAACGACAAACATACAAAAATAACAACTCTAGCACAACAAGACCGAATCCCTGGTAGAAACAACTGGTATGTATCGGACATCAACCAAAAAAACTCAATAATCCGAGACCGCACAAAACGCAGAGAAGACAGAGAGGTGTCTTCTTCCGACCAGAACCATGCTGAAAAACGAAACTTTACAAGAAGAATACGTTACCTTATCGTCAGATTCGGCTTCAGATTCAGAGCGGGGCCTCTTTGGAGACAGAGAATCCATAGACGACAGCTCCAGTTTCGGCTTTCGCAGAAAACCTTGAGTTCCTCTGTTTGAGTATGACGGTTGAGTCTTGACTTGACAAGGGTCATCCAGGGTTCAGATTGTACTTCATTTCATGGGAAGCACGGGCACGTATCAATCATTGAATGCCGTGATCTGCCCTTTCGCTTTACAGATTTCAACTTGGGCCACTTTTTAAGATAAGCAAATAAGGGTTATGGACTGGGTTGTTCTGGCCCAGCGGAATAAAATGCCCTTGTACAAGACTGCTCGTCTTTCTCTCCACGAGGCCTTATAGACTTGCTACGTAACGATGCCCGTTTTAGACTCCGGACAGATTAGGGAAAGAATCCCACTAGATTAAAGTAAATCAGATAAATTTAACTTACTTAATTGATCTGAATCTTAAAAAAAATAAAAAGAAAGAAGTAGAAAATACCGAACATGATGACCTAACTAATGAGTCTACCTACGTGAACACTATTATCCTAACTTAATTCGTACATATTCATAATATAATATACATTGAGAAATCGGCATAAGAAGTTTTTAGCCAATCCAATTACGATGGGACCTTTTGCGTAGTTTCTTAAGTGCTTATGAGGCGATAATCCATGATGGCACAACCCTTTTTACATAGACGTTGGAGATAATTGTTCTAAAAAGTCATAACATCTGTCGTACGGCGGCCAATGCAATCTTCAATCTTTCAATTGTGCTAGTTTAGCCAATACCTTTCGACGTTTTGCCAATTTAGTTCTAAACCTTTCTCGACGATCACGAATGAAAATCCGTATAATCTAGCGATCCGGACATTCGATTTAAGAAAATTGGCGGTTGTTCTAAAGATGTCCCCATCTCACATAGATCAAATGTCATTGACCATGTCCTAAACATGCGTGAAGTTCAAAAAGAAGAACCTTGCTTTAGAACGTCGCTCTTAATCTATATGAATTTCGTATTTAGCCATACAATGGGATATGCATTGCATGCTTTTAATTAAGAAAAGCATTTCGTACACCAACCGTTTAAACATTTCCTGCTTTTCGAAAAGTTAATTAAGGAAGCAAAAATAATAAAATGAAGAGGCACGATCCATTAAGTAACATTGCATAGACGATACTCCAAACGAAAAACGAAATGATAGATGTGGGAGTGGGTTTCCGAAATGTTTTTTTTTTTCAAATTAAATACAAAAGAAAATGATAATCGAGTACGTGGAACTTTCAGGATTTTTTTTTTTTTGTGAATAGAGATACTTCTATTTATAAGATACCATCATCCTACATTCTTCAATGTCGTCTTCTCTCTCTCTATTTTTTTTTTTTTTGGCGATCACACCTGAGAGCATGTGACATGTATGGACTAATAAACTAAAACAGGTCTCTAAGACCAAATCTAACAAAGGCAATACAATTTAAGGACACGCTGTTGGTGGCTATGCCCCTTCCTTCTTTTTCTTTTTCAGACTTTTTTCCCCTTTTTTTTTTCTTCTTTATTAAGTTCTTAACACAATCATCAACATAATTTGATAAAAGTGGGTTGATGACGGAAAGAAAATAATTATAGATGATAAACTAAAACTTTAAGGATCCAAAATTAAAATTTTGAGTCATTTCTCTTTGCGGATCGACAGAAAGAAGGAAAAAAAGAAAGATAGAATTTGAGCACTTAAAGGAGAAACTCGATTTAATTTGCCTCCGCTTATCTCTGGTCCACCGCACCAAAAGTGAGATCGAATTCATCCAATTTAGCTAAATGTCACACGACAGCAGATATCTTAAACGAGCCGCGTAACGAATTTTTCAAGCATATCAAAAAGACACTTCCATAACAAAATGAGCCTCATTTGGGGTTTCAGGTGAAGTTGCCGCTAGGGCTGAGGCCTCTGGCTCTCCCAATGGGCCCATAGCCTACCCAAAATTTCCGAGCTTTTGGTGCTAGACCAAGAAGCCAAAAAGCTATGTTTGGTGACGTTTTTGTTTTTCTAATTTTCCGTTCTTTTGTTCCCAGGAATATAAAAAAAAATGGAAATCCGTCTGGTAACGTCGGTTAATTTTTATATTCTCCGGAATAGAAAAGTGGCCAGGGAATAGATTTGGAATAGAAATAAGAACTAAAAAAAAATATACTTTTCTGTTCCAAGAACAAAAGGAGAAACAATAGAAAAACAAGATCAGCTCTCTCTTTATCTTTCACAAGACATTCCCGTGCTAAACCCTAAAACCTTAACCTTAATACCCAAACCCTAAAACCCTAAACCTTAAATCCTAAAATCCCAAAACACAAAACCTGAATCCCAAACCCCTAAATCCCAAAACCCTATACCTTAAACCCTAAAACCCTAAACCCCAAACCACAAATCATAAACTTGAAAACCGAAACCCTAACCCTAAAACCCTAAACTCTAAACCCCAAACCCCAAAACCCTAAACCAGAATCCCTAAAATCCTAACCCTAAACCCTAAACTGTAATTTCCTTGACCACCACCCGATATTTATTTTGTCTATAAGGAGTAATTTTTTTTTATGATTGTATTGAGGTCATCCAATTTTATATCATAATATATTTTGATTCTATTTCAAGTCTAGTTTTATCCAAATATGGATTGTTAAGTCTCCACTGACATTTTTGTAATTAAATGAACAAATTATGAGTAGAAATTTATAGGGTAGTACCACAAAATTGGACTAGAAATAGAATCATAATATATTATGATATAGAGTTGGATAATCTCAATACAATCATAAAGAAAATTACTCCTTATAAATAGTGGTCGAGGAAATTACAATTTAGGGTTTTAGTATTTGGGGTTTATGGTTTGGGATTTTGGATTTTCGGTTTTAGGGTTTGGGGTTTAGGTTTTCGAATTTAGGGTTTAGTGTTTTGGGTTTTAGGATTTAAGGTTTGGGGTTAGGGTTTTAGGGATTCGGATTTTAGGTTTTAAGGTTTAGGATTTACGGTTTAGGGTTCGTGGTTTTGCTGTTTAGGGTTTTTGGGTTTGGGGTTCATGATTTTAGGGGTTCGGGTTTTGGGGTTTACGGTTTAGTGTTTGGGGTTTAGGGTTTTAGGGTTTCGGGTTTCGAGTTTTGGTGTTTAGGGTTTTATGGTTTGGGTATTGAGGTTTAGGGTTTTAGGGTTCCGGATTTTGGGATTTAGGATTTAGCATGGGAATATCTTATGAAAGAGAGAGGATCTTGTTTCTCGTTTTGTTCTTGGGAACAGAAAAACAGACTTTTTTTACTTTCTATTTTTGTTCCAAATCTATTCCCTGACCTACTTTTCTATATGGGGAATAGAAAAAATAACTGACATTACCAAACGGATTTCTGTTCTTTTTCTATTCCGAGGAATAAGAACAGAAAAATAGAAAGACTGAATAAATGGCCATTCCACTCGGTCATGGCCACGGTTCGAAACCGGCCGGTTCAGGTTCGTGGCCATGTGTGAGCGAGGAACCGGCCGGTTCCGATTCCGAAGCACGGCCCGGTTTCGGTTCGTAATTTAAAAATTAAAAAAAATAAATTATGAAATAAAAAATAAATAATTATAAAAATATGAAATAATGAATTATTCAAAATAAATTATAATCAAAATGAAAATTGTAGGGGTGATCGGTTCCCGATCGAAACCGGGAACCGAACCGGTAAGATCGGTCTTTTAATTTTAGAACTAGGAACCGGACCGGCAAACCATAGAATTGGGAACCGGACCATTGGTCCGGTCCGGTTCTAGGCGGTCCAATGGAACCCTTTGCTCTTAATTAGCAAACGATCGAAGCCACAAAAGGCATACAACTTCACATGCTCATGGCTTGGCTTGGATTTTATAAACAACCTCTTTGATGGTTTCTTCATTCCCATTCGATGTGGGACTCTTGGCATTTGCATGAAGACAAGTCAAGAGTCTCATATTGAAGGCGTTCAAGGCAAACCGAGAGTTCCACATCGAATGGGAATGAAGAGACCATCAAAGGGGTTGTTTATATATAAAACCCAAGCCAAGTCTTGTAATTAGAGTTCAATACACCCAAGCCAAGCATTGCAATTGGAGATCAATGCACTTACAATGCATGGCAATTAGAGTTTAATTTGTTTTATAAAAAAAATTAAATGATGAAATTTTTTTAAAAAAAATTTTCATTATTATTTTTAAAAAATAATAATAATTTGGAACCGAAACCGGGCCTGTAGGCCACGGGCCGGTTCCGGTTTTGAACCGCGGGCCGGGTCAACGGGCCGGACCCGGGTTTGACCGGGCCGGTTCCGGGCCAAAACCGGCCCGTGGCCATGACTAATTCCACTTCTCACCTCCGGATCTCGTCAGCAGTCGCCAAAATAAATCTTCTCCGTCTCATACTCGTGCTCACTTTAATATTTGAGTTAGGCTTGCAAAGTATTCTACATTTTAATGTTTTGAACATACTCATCCTCATGGAAACTAGTTAATAGCTTAATTTCGTCAATTATCATGGGAGAAGAAATTCGTGTTTTTTCTTGTCAACATCCGATTTTGTGAAGTTCTTACATAGCATTTATGAAAATAGCATTTACCTTCTTACGCGTTCATCGGATGTAGGCTTATTGACATGTTAAAATTATTAAGTCATACATACTGACTCGCCCAAGATAATATTGTCTCTAGACAATTATTTTGCTTACAACCGGATGTTGGATTCAAAGCGTGCATGTTGCATATCCTGAGAGAAACAAACAAATCTAAAAGGGTAATTTTTATTACTGATTGGCTAACAAGTGCGTAGCATTTGGTTAATTATCAACTTATGGAAATCCAATTAGATTGGCTAGCGACGCCATCACTACCAACTCTTAATTTTGAACGTGTGCATAGTTGGCCAAAGCAATAAAGTACCGAATAACAGGGGAAAAAAAGAAAACAAAAAAACGTAATAAAAAATTGGATAAAATTGCAAGTATGCATTTTTTCTAGGACCTAAAAAGTATTTCAATCTTCCAAGAAATAAAAACTCTCATCAAGAATTCGTCTGCTTCAGAGTGAAAAGAGAGACAAAGAAACGAGCAGTTCCA